GGGGGTGCCTTGGTGAATAAACCCTCACCAATTCCCTTCTGTGCCCCCGTGATGAACTTATAGGCAGCCACAAGGTCGCCTCTCAACCTTCTCTTGCAGAGGCTGAAAAGGTCCAGGTTCTCTAGTCTCTCCTCGTAGGGCTTGGCCTGCAAGCCCTTAACCATACGAGTGGCCGTATAACCATACGAGTGGTCGTATAACATACGATATGTTATATTGTAACATATAAGAAGTACATTTTATATCAAAGCTCACAAAGCATATAAATACAAGGATCACACAGCTGAATTGAGCTTCACACCCCCATCTGTTGAGATCAGATATGCAGAATCAGTAAAACAAACTCATAAAGCATCTCTGACATTCCACAAACACCTTGAAATATAGGGGGGTTCATGACATCTTGGTGTCATTATTGATTCCAAAATGAACATGGGCCGCTAATGTGGGGACACGGTCAGGAAGACTAAACGCATCTTGTCATGCATCCGCAGATGCATCACGAGCAGGGCCAAGGAGGTGATCCTCCCCCTCTATGTGACGTTGATCAGGCCGCAGTTGGAGTCCTGTGTCCAGTTCTGGGCGCTGCACTTCAGGAGGGATGTGGACAGCATCAAGAGGGTCCAGAGGAGGGCCACTCGCGTGATCAGTGTGCAGCAAGGCAGGCCCTACAAGCGGAGGCTATGGGACCTGAACCTGTTCAGTCTCCACAAGAGAAGGCTGAGGGGGGATCTGGTGGCTGTCTACAAATTGGCCAAGGGGGACCAGCAGGCTATGGGAGAGTCCCTGTTCCCCTGAGCACTACCGGGAGTAACAAGGAATAATGGCCGTAAGTTGACTGAGAATAGATTCAGGCTAAATATCAGGAGGCACTACTTCACAGTCAGGGCAGCTAGGATCTGGAACCAACTTCCAAGGGAAGTGGTGCTCACTCCTACCCTGGTGGTCTTCAAAAGGAGGATAGATAATCACCTGGCTGGGGTTGCTTGACCCCAGCTTTCTTTCTTTCCTGCCCGTGGCAGGGGGTCGGATGATCTGCTCAGGTCCTTTTCAACCTTACCATCTATGAAACTATGACATGGCCAGGAGAATACCCCAACCATCAGGCTGTAGAATAGGCTGGATTGGGGTGCATGCTGCCCAACTTGTCTTGGCAGTCCCTTGATTGCAGAACAATTTCTACCACAGCTCATTGATGGGTCTTGAGGTGACTTAAAAGTCCAATCCTTGAGCCACAAGAGTTGCAGGTCTTTCCTCAGGGGAGAGTAAGCTGCAGACTGGAATTCCACTCCTTTTTCTTCCTTCACTCTCTCTTCTCTGCTTCAAGGGTAAGATGCTTTACCTCAAACCAGGCCAGTGCTTGGTTGAGATTGCAGAGCCATTGGAGCTGGTTGGCAGCCAGCTTCTCTCAACTCTTGATGTCAGCATCTATTTTCTTGAGGTGTGTCTTCAGCGTGTCCTTGTGGCGTTTACTCTGGCCATTGCAAGATCTCAGGTGATAGCTAACCTGGGAGTAGAGCTCTTGTTTTGAGAGCTGAGAGTCAGGCACCCACAATGTGTCTTTCCGGAGATTACAATGAATAAAGATATGCCAAAGAAATTTTCCAAAGGCAGCTGGATCTCCTCGTCAGTGTTCACTCTGAAAGAGGTTGCCATAGAGTTAGGGGGAGTACTCGTCTACCTCCAGGGTCTTTCCCTCAGTGGTATTTAGGGGAGAGAGGCTCACATTCATGACCCAGAAGAGGTTGATAGAGAATTTGAGTTTTCTTGATGTTGAGAGAGAGGCCCAAAGCTTGGTAGGCTTCTCTGAAACGATGCACCGCATTCTGGAGGTTTTCCTCAGTATGTTCAAGGATGGCACAGTCCTTGGCATATTGAAGGTGAAGTATGGCTGTCTTGAGTACTTTGGTGTTAGAATTAAAATGTCCCAGATTGAAGAGCCCTTCATCCATTCAGTATTCAGTGTCAATTCTGGAAGTAAGGCAGTCCTTAATGAGAACCAGGATGACTGTCAAAAATGGAGAACAGAGTTGGGGCAGTGATGCATCCTTACTTGACCCCAGTTCAGATGACAAATGAATCTGTCCTCCAATGCGCTACGTAAAATGGGTGCAGTTATCTGTTCATGAAGAAGCCTTATGACCTTGATGTACTTTTCAAGACATCCGAATCTGGTCAGTGCTTTCCACAAGACTTCAAAATTGAGCACACCCTGAGGCAGACCATGTCTCTGTTGCCTAGTGGTTCTTTTTTAATATGCTTTGTAAAATCCCCTGATGCTGTTTTGGGACCTGTTAGATTCTAGGCTGGAGAAGGAGCCAGCATGTTATATCTAATAACATGGCTTCTGGAGAATAATCTAGATCAAGGGTTAGCAGCCTAGGACTCGTGAGCTAGATCTGGCCTGCAGAGCTGAAGTTCCTTGACAGCATTTTCCTTGGATCCAGCTGGGTCATTCTGTACCCTCACCAGAAAATGTTGCTGAATACTGATTGAGATTAGCTTTGTTCCTTGAATGATTAGTGTTCACTCTTTAGTTTCTTCTGTGCAGCTTCTTTTGAGCCTGAAACTTCTTCCTTCTGGCTATTTTAGTTATTTTATTTACTGAAATTCTAAACTATTAATACATGTACAATTTACAAAATATTTTGGCAAGTTAAAACCACTTCCAGCTCTGACTTTTTAAACAAAGGTTTTGTTTCAGAAAGATGTTGAAGAGATGTGGATAAAATTACTGTTTCTTTACATTTCCTTGAACTTTTAAAATCACTATTAGACCCTCATCACTCAAACTGTTATCTACATTATCACATTTAAACACAGACAGTTCTGTTAACTTCAGTGTGACTACTCACATACTTAATGGTAAACACTTTAAGTGTTTCTGGACTGACTTAACTTTGCATTTAATATTTATTTACATTTCTGTTAGCTTGATGTTTTATTTATTGCACAGACATAATGTCTTTGGAACTTTTTGCACTAATTTATTTTTAAATCATAATATGGAGGTAATGATAGGAATACTTTTAGACACTGGCATTTTCTTTTAATTTTCTTTCATGTCTTTCTTTTCAAAAAATATCTTGGAAATTATCAGCGTTTGGTCTCAGTTGGCTTGGATTCAAAAAATACAATATGTGTTTGGGACTGGAGAAGAGGAAAATTGTTGTCAATGGCTCCTGGTCATACAGACAGGGTAAGCATAAAAACAGGAATGTCAATGGAATTTTGGTTTAAAATCTGTGTACTTATACGTAAAATACATTTTGTTTTAGATTATAGAAGTTGGTTTTGTCAATTTTTTTTAGAAAAATGTATACAGTATACTCTACTTATTTGCTTACCTTATGCGCATTTTCCCCAAAAATCAGCCCTCCAAAATTGGGGTGCATCTGAAGTCAGGAAGCAGAATCTCTTCATCAAAGTAGAAGCAGTGGAAGAAGAGAAGCCTTGAGTAGCTGTTCTGCAAAATGACTGCCTCCTCTCCCTCAGCAAACAGCAGGGGCAGAGTCCAGTACTAACCCTTTTGCACCAGTGCTACTGAATTAGCAGTATAGGTTGCAGCCATGTTGGTCTAAGGATATAGGCAGACAAGGTTCTCTGGTTAAATCTGATATCTTTTATTAGACCAACTCAAATGGTTGGAAAACTTCTTTGCAAGCTTTTGGGTACAAATACCCTTAGTCAGGCTGAGGAAGCATCTGCAATTGGTGTGTGCTCTTCCTGGATGGAATGAATAGTAAAGAAGTCAGAGGCTGGTATGCATATAAGAAAAGCCAGTCAGTGAAGATGTAAATTGAGGTGTCAGTGGGTGAGAGACAGGTTGGGGGGCTGGGGATGTAGCTGGTAAATAGTGGAGAGGTACCTGGGGGTCAGATGTTAGGCAGGTTATAATGTGTCATGAATCCAATGTCTATATTTAGTCCATGATTTTTTGCATCCAGTAGGTCGATGAAGTGAAGTTTGTAGGCTTGTCTGTGAAAGGTGTTGTGTAAATTCCCTTTGAGGATTAGAACTGAGAAATTGGAGAAAGAGTGGTTGTTTTATGAAAAATGTGCCCCCCAGGTAATTGAGTTTTTTTGTCTTTGGTAGATTTTTGGCGTGTGTTCATTCAGAATGCAGTTGTTGTTTGGTCTCTCCTATGTATTATGCTTCTTCAGCCTGACGAAGGGTATTTGTAACCGAAAGGTTGCAAAGAAGAATTTTCCCAACTATTTGAGTTGGTTTAATAAAAGATATCAGATTTATCCAAAGAACCTGTCTGCATTAGCAGTAGCATTTGTCTGAGCAGTCAAAAACTGCTGCCTATGTGGCATCAGCTGTCAAATGCTTAACACTGGATTCCACTCAGGTGTTCACTGAGAGAGAAGCAACAGTCATTTTGCAGAGCAGCCTATCCATGAAAAGCCAGCTCTAAGTCAGGATTTTGGAAACCCCCTTTTTCTGTCTACCTTACCAAAAACAAAGCACGTGTCTTATTTGGAGGTGAGCAGAATGCAGAAAAATACGGTGCATTTTTCTGTTTCTTAAAATGTATAGTTCACCAATCATTTGTGAATATTTTTGATGATATGGGGGCACATGTTGAAGGTATCAAATTAGAGGCAGTAACAGATCCAACATTATGGGAGAATCAAATATACCAAATCTTCTGGACTTTGGAGTTCATTAGATGGAATGTAGCTTTGGAGAGGATGAGTAAATAGGGTACCGCTAGAAATCATTCTAAAGCCGGCATATTCCTATCTTTCACATGACTAAAATAACATTCAGAAAGACCACATAGAATAGTGGTAGGCAACCTTTTCCACTACAGGCCAGAATATCCTATTTTGGTTCAGAAGCAGGCATTTGCAGGTGCTAAGACGAGTTTGCAGGCAGCACTTCTCCCTGCAGTGGCATGAGTCAAAGCTTCCTGCCAGAAAGAGCCCCATGTCCTGTGGGCCATACTTTGCTGACCCTTGACTTAAAGCTGCAGTAAACAATCTTCAACTAGTTCCACTAAAAAGATACATTGTTATGTTTATTATCACTTTGGCAATTATAACTTTACAGGCTTTTGAATTCATTACAAATAACTTCACAAGAACATACTGACAATAATCACTCTGTATATAACTCTATCTACATTAAGTTTATGATCTCAAAATACAAATCAAAATATAATAGTTTGTAAAGGAGACAATGTTGAAATAAAGTTAATTGTATAGTTAAGGCCTTAACATCCTGGAAATGTCAAAGTTAAGCTTTCTTGTGCCCCTTTGTACATAGATATTATATCTTTGCTAATGTATTTTAATTGCATAATTCCAAATTTAGTAGAGGATTTTTTTCCCTA